TTGCAAATTATATTGGTCAGTCTGATAGACTCATTCTATATGGTTAAAGAATAAAACCTTTCCGACACTAAAAAATGTTTTTTTTCAGAAAAACACTGTTTGTTCGCCGGGTTCAAACCATCATCTCGACCAAATGTGTGTGTTTTTTTTTCTTTTCGTTTTTATGTAGTCTGAAGCAGACTAAATAAAACCGATCGGGGTTTTCTTTGTGATGATCTCGACAGAAAAGTGTCGTTAAAGTATACATAATATACAAATTGGACTGATCTTTGAGACATGTTTACCTTGAATTTACGATTGGCCCTGACGCCAATGACTGCCCCCGCACTCTCTTCTTCGTCGTCCAAATAACCACCAGACAGACTCTAGAATCTTGGAAATCCTCGCATCCTTCTGTCTGGTTGTAGTCGTCCTCATATCCTTCTGTCTGGTTGTAGTCGTCCTCATATCCTTCTGTCTGGTTGTAGTCGTCCTCATATCCTTCTGTCTGGCAGTGGCCGTCCTCATATCCTTCTGTCTGGTAGTGGCCGTCCTCATATACTTCTGTCTGGTAGTAGCCGTCCTCATGTCCTTCTGTCTGGTAGAAGCCGTCCTCATATCCTTCTGTCTGGTAGTAGTCGTCCTCATATCCTTCTGTCTGGTAGTAGTCGTCCTCATATCCTTCTGTCTGGTAGTAGTCGTCCTCATATCCTTCTGTCTGGCAGTGGCCGTCCTCATATCCTTCTGTCTGGTAGTAGTCGTCCTCATATCCTTCTGTCTGGTAGTAGCCGTCCTCATATCCTTCTGTCTGGTAGAAGCCGTCCTCATTATCGTCCTCATATCCTTCTCTCTGGTAGTAGTCGTCCTCATATCCTTCTGTCTGGTAGTAGCCGTCCTCATATCCTTCTGTCTGGTAGTAGTCGTCCTCATATCCTTCTCTCTGGTAGAAGTCGTCCTCATATCCTTCTGTCTGGTAGTAGTCGTCCTCATATCCTTCTGTCTGGTAGAAGCCATCCTCATATCCGTCCTCATATCCTTCTCTCTGGTAGTAGTCGTCCTCGAATCCTTCTGTCTGGCAGAAGTCGTCCTCATATCCTTCTGTCTGGTAGTAGTCGTCCTCATATCCTTCTCTCTGGTAGAAGTCGTCCTCATATCCTTCTGTCTGGTAGTAGTCGTCCTCATATCCTTCTCTCTGGCAGTAGTCGTCCTCATATCCTTCTGTCTGGTAGTTGCCGTCCTAATATCCTTCTGTCTAGCAGAAGTCGTCCTCGTATCTGTCTAGTTGTAACCTCGTCTCCATTTTGTCGGTCCAACTCAAGTGCTCTGCACTTTTATTTTAGAATGCTTTGGAGATAAAAACCACTGAAATATCTTTAGATTTTCTATCGTTATCGGGAATGGATTGTGTTGTGTTAGCCATTTTACAAACTGATTTATTTGCTCGTTTTGCAATTTTGTCAGCAAAATCAGCATTAATTTGCTAAAAGGGTGGAAAATTGTTCCAAACTGTTTTCAATAATGTAATTTTACAATTTGCTGAGATTTTATTTACGATATTTCTTGGACGAAATTACGGAATAGAATCATATAACTAAGAACATGTCTGCTCCGTTGTTTATTGAAAACAGGAGGTGTTGGTGATTACGTGGTGTTATTTAGATCTTGTGTCGGGAGGGAAAGGAAATAGATTCGTCCGTATGTTCTTGATATTATATATGTACTTTGAAATAGATCATAGAATTATTTTCAGGGGAAGGGTAGCTGTTATCCTACAATCTTATCAATTGAATAAATCGACTCGCACTATATAGCCATCGTGATATTTTCTAAAATAATTGATCTCTCATAGTTCAAGAAAGATTTATCATAAAACTTTCATCATTTATCTGAATATCTCGACCTTTAAAAGGTCATCGGCTGAATCAACAGCTTTTAACTAAGATTGTGACGTGGACTTCAAACGTCCATAATTCATACGAAATAGCAAAGCGATATTAAGTATCTCCAACATCTCTTCCCTTAATTGAATGTTGGAACTGTCTTTTCATCCAGTTTCATTTTCAGAAGTAGGTTTAAAAGTAATTGATTGATTTTAATCGTTCCCGTTGTTGAGAAACTGTGTAAATATACAGATATTTATAACTTATTCCTTATTTTTTATGTACATGATGCGCCGCTGTTATAATTAAGATATTAACATTGACGCATGCGTTCTGATCAGATTATTTTGTATGGCGATTGAAAATTACACAATCATCAATGGACTTTTATTGAGTCTCTTTTTACTGCTTTTTATTAAAATGTATTTGAAGTATACTATTAAGATGGTGACAAAACATCTCTAATTGCGATACAGTTGGTCTGAATCTCTGACAGTTTTCCTGGCCTCAGTTAGGAAAGAGATATATTTGTCGTGAGTCTTTCACCCGCAGATAATTACAATGCGCATTGTGTATCAAAGAGATCTGTGTACGAAATTGCTGCATAAAGAGTATGAATAATTTCACAACCAAAAAGGCTTAAGTGACTGGCCAGTTGGTTTAAGTGATATTTGCCTGAAACAAAGCTGACCTTATATAGTCAGCGCGCAATCCAAAGCAAGTGTATTGCATTTTGGCCGTAAGCAAGCACATCATATGGTAATCCGACAGAGTATTTCATTTCAAACAAAATAACTTCATTCGTATGCTGACTGGTTGATGCTAACACAAGCTTGCTCGTGTCACGGCCTCATTTAAAAGCAAAAAGCCGCTTGTGTCCAAGAAGGCTGATCTACATAGCAATCCCATTTTCTTTTTAAATATTTGCGTAGCTCTGTATATTTGTTCCGTTGATTACAAGTACACAGGACGTGACATATGGCTTTGACGATTACGTAAGACGGAACGACATCTGCTGCAGTCCTAGCCACAATACTATCCGTCTTTGAGCTTTACAAAATCGTTACAAGCAACATGTGTAAGCCTCTCTGTTGAGATGCAACAAGACCATATAGAGCAAGTCTCTCCGAATTATGAATTTAATGTCTATATCATTTTTCTGACTAAATCTTTGCTAGACATATAAATAATCTTCAGGTGGTAGGCCATTATAGTACACATTCATATATTTTATGTCTGTATATACAATCTCCCATCAGGCCAGTTTATCAAACATAGAAGTAATACAGATGACAACACATACCATTAATACGCAGTTTTGTGAGGTTGCCAGTGAAAATCGGGAGGGACGTGCACTGAAGTCGATATGCAACATGAATCACTAAGATTTTGTAAAATATACATGTTAGCATAAGTAACTAGGCGGAACCTCTCGGGAGCAGTCCCTCTTGATAAACCATGATTACTCTGCCCGAAATGTTCAGAAATTGATATATATTATATATAGATGAGCAATTTGTTTCTACTTGAACACAGTTCGTCTTTAAAAAGTAAATTTGCATCGACTGAGAGGGAAGAGAGAGGCAAAACACACACACAAGCTTAGATAGCGTCAGTTCATTTTGCTTTCTTATTATTTTTTTCAAAATATTTTATCTGATAAACATCTTTTTATTTGATTTATTTATTTGTTTGTTTTGATCGTCAATCTCATGTATCCAGTAATAAAACAAAATGGGGTTGAAACGTGCAACCACTGACGTTATCAAAATCCCGTGGTGTTTATGAACGACGCAGAGAATGAAACTCGTGTTATCTCTCCGTTGACTGCGGTTTGCAGTGGACCGAAATATGTACCATATGACCACAATCAGCTGGACAAATTATTCCAAGATTAAATCTGGATGGTTACAGATGGCCAGATGTTACCCGAATGTAAATACTGTCCGTTGGATGGTCATTCGGGTCAGCTATTGATACAATTGTCCGAAACATTGACCGAATGGTCCTGTTGATATCAAGTCATTGTCGTCATTGTCAGATGCGTTCGATTGAGCGGTCAAGCAGCGGTGAACTGTTCAAACGGATAACTCGGAGATGGACATTTGTCGGTGTTTAATTAAATTACGTTTAACAATAAAATGTTGTCTGGAATATGTTTCTGTTTGGAGATGAAAATTAATAGCTGAATGTATAACAAATTAAAACGAGAGTGATCAATTTTCGATCGGAGATTTATGAACTGGCTACACCGATGCCCACGACAAACTATATTTGTATTCGAATAAATTCAAAGTACGGTATCACTTCAGATTCTGTACCTTTGGGAATGCATCTATTTATTATCTCTAATTAAGCTTCTTCACGATATCATGAATATACGATAACCCTGGTTATATCCCTGAAGACAATGTTTACCATTTGGATATTGAACACATGTAACTTATCATCGTCTCCTTCAATAATATATTCTCATTTTATTCAACATTGTGTATTGAATGTTAAACAGTTCAGTCTAGTTTTTTTATATAAAGTTTTATAACATTACAGTGTAGTGTTAACTAAGTACGAAATAACAGCATCAAATTCCTAACTCTTGACAGTTGTCGCCTGGCATCGAATAAGTAGATAATAACATAAGTTGAACATATTTCGTCATTCTTCATTTCTTGTGGAGAAAAAACCTGGAAAAATTGTGACGTTTTTAATAAAAACATTTGAACAAAACTATATATGTTGTTATCATGGTATGAATTGATATGAATATTTCTGAATCCTGTAACTTATTGATGCACAGCCTATTCAACAGTATCGACAAATGGCGCAAAATTAAATGGTTTATCAAATTTATTATTAATCGTACAATGAATGTTAACAAATCCTTGTGAATGGCGCCCGGAAAGTTTCAATTATTAGATATAGATTGTACATGTTGTGTACCATTATACGTGTGTGTTTGACTGGGGTGAATGTTCTGAATGTGACGAATGTGCAATAGTAAAGGAGTTTTGTTTCTGATAGAGAACCGTTGAACGTTTATTAAGATAAAAGAAAATCACCTTTACTTTTTTAGTTTTTGTATGATTATATCATATTTGTAGAATTATCTAAATTTTGTTTCCAACGTTATGTCTTCTACAGAATGGAACGATACAACACCACTTCCGGTCATGGTTTTTGTCCACGGAGAGTCTTATGACATCGGAACCGGAAATGCTTATGACGGAAGTGTTCTGGCCAGTTACGGGGAGGTTATTGTTGTGACCGTCAACTACAGACTTGGTGTATTAGGTAAGAAAACGATATTTCGTTAAATTATATTAAAGTGTACTGTGTGATAAAGATATATTTGCTTGGAAAAAGTGGGCGTTACCTGGTCTATCATTTTTATGTTATTTTATTAAATCGAAACAAATCACTCGATTAATCTATCTAAATTAAATCTGACACACATCTCGACTTCCTCTTTCGTTTGCAGAAAAAAGACGTCGAGCAAATGATAAACTTAAGATACTGAATGTGTAGTGCATACAATACAGGTACTTTATGAATCTGCATTCTACTAAAAATATATATATATTTCATTTTAGATGTGATAAAATCTTTTTAAGGTTTTTAGTAGTATGTTCAATTAGTCAGTATTGGTGTCATATTTCAAAGCTGTCATATTTCGATTGTAGCGCTTCCCATAACGTCTTAATTCTCATCGCGCGCTAATCTGTTTCGTTTTCACGTGGCAATCACGTCCTTTGACTAAGAGACAGATAATGATAATGGTAGCGGATCCTAGTGAAAACACATGTACTATTTGGCGTTATATTTATGTGAACAATTTTATCATGCCAAGCTTTATACACAATCACTAACATTCTCTTTGAATCTTTTGTTACGATTCAGTCAATTATAAGTGTTTTTACATCGAAAAAACACTTCCTGTAGAATGGTTTAGTGTTACCAATTAGTCCCGCTGTTTCCGTGGTGGTAAACCGCTCAGTTATATCCAACTAATTATTACCGTGCTGTTGATGACAAAAGTACTGTTAGCAGGTCGTGTTTCCACCTGTGGGATAAACGAACCACTTGGGTGACCTTCCGCGGGGTGAAACCCTATGATCTGTAAAGGCCACGTGGATCCTGCAGGGTGAATAAGGATCAGATGTCCTAATGGGCAAAAACTACGTGTGGCGACGGCGATTTGTTAAGCCGGCATCTCCATTTACTCCAGATCACAGACAACAGGAAGAATTATGCGATTTTCCTAACGAGCATAGCGTTTTCGAATCTTCAGAATGGCTCGGAAAACCTTTCGCCGTTCTGGAGCTTTGCAAATAGATTTTCCGGTTCTCTAAAACGGAAAGACGGCGTGCAGTTTCGAAATTAATGTAACGTTTCATTCTATATGTACGTGTACCTTGAGTAACTATGAAAGTGTCAAACATGCTTCACCGACTGTACATGTGTTCCGATCAATATATTATAGACAGAAAAAAGGAATATACGCTGTCGAAACGCACTTTTAACATTGAAATGTGCGTTCACGATCAACATGTCAATGATTATTTAGATGAAATTCACAACTGCTCACTATATAATGCCGTGTCTACATGTATTTTCTATGACACCTATCATTGCTTTTTTAGGTTTCCTCGCTATATTTATTTGGCACCAATACTTAAATTTGGCTATACTTCAAGTCAGTATACAAATATCTTGAACTTACATTCTTGAACTTGCAATCATCATTGTCAACAACTTTAAATGGATTTTCTTTTCCTGTGTAAAGCACCAAAAATGAACGTGTTTGTCATTACTGTAAAAGAAGATGGGAAATATTTCAAAGCCACATTGATTTATTATGTGTTAGTATATCTAAATTCTATTCAAAACTTCATATCAATGTTTTATTCATAAGGGACAAGAAATATTTATACTTATCATACACAATTTTATTTTTCTCGGCTTTATTAATTCTAGACTTTCACATAACAAACTGCTACATGTAAGACATTGTACTGTTTATCTGTTTTAATGATGAAACCCAGTTTGACATTGCAGCACTCCACACGGTGGATAAACATTGTTTGTATTTTGCTCGCGTATCAATCAATTCCCCCTGTCTTTCCTTATCTAAAGCTACATTGATAAATGGTACGTCAACGTTTATTTCTTTCCTCGATAAAATTATGAATAATGATCTCGGTTCAAGGTCATATCAAGATTCGGATGATAGAATCTTCTATGTAAAAGAGAAATCACATTAAATTTTCCCATGAAAGAAGTTATCAAATTTTAGGGTTTTTTTTTTTTTCAAAAATTTGGTTTATTCTTGGGCATACTAAATGTCACGTTAACGAGAAATTGAGGCAGGACCATTTCATCTCGATTAATAAATATAATTTGTACAGAAGGATGTGGGTAAATATTTAATTTGTGACTCGCAACATAGAGTGTACAAATTCTACATCTCAGCCATGATTATTTTACAAAAGGGAAAGTATTGGTCTGTATATATCTAAATTGAAAAGTAAGAACTAATTTTTAAAAAAAATAGTTGAAATCTTATTCTTGAAACATTTATCAAGCTTCTTGTGATGAATTTCATGGTTTTAAAATGTTTTTAGGGTAAAATATTGTTCTCTGTGTGAATATTTCTGTATGACTTTAGGCACGTCTATTGAAAAATTATAATACACGAAGCCAAGATTATAATGATCTGATGAAAGTATTGATTGCATTTTATGTCGTCAAATCGACTGTTATATTATCCAGATATAGAAATAACTATTTCAATTTTCTTTAATCTTTCTGAGAGTGCTGAAGTCGCAGAAAATCGGATTCAACTGCTCTCATGATATTTATATTAAAAGTGTATGGCTTCTTGAATAATAGCTTGAGAACAGGCGTACATGTAACCGTGGTTTTCTCTCAATGTTAGTTGAACACATTTTTTAATCTTCCAGCACGATTTTCGTAAACAGACGCCCGGTAGTTGCTGGTACAATTAATCTACCACCAGTTGATACCGTTGACTTGAGAGCACATTCCGATAGTTGTAATGTTTAAAAAGTTTGACATAATGAATTACAAACGATAAACATTTATTTTACACAGAGTTTAAAGTTTTTTCTTCAGCAATGAAGTGTTAAGGAGATTTTTTGTCTTCAAGTAGACCTTTATCATTATTTTAAGGAATTAGAAACATGACCAAGAATTTGTCAGTTTTTCAGGCAAAAACGTAAAAGATTATAAACTGAAGTAGATTACTCACGTGCAAAAGACGTAGAATGTCTTTGTGCTGGATGAATTGATAACATGCAATATGGTTTTTTTCTTGTTCTTATCAAAACTTCTTCAATTCACTTGGATTGACAAAGGTTTACATTGCGAGTGTAGGCAATGAAACAGAAGACGCTTGCTCTTCCGGAAAACCTGGTCTTGTTCTCCTTGCACTTTGTCAGGAGTCTCCGTGTAAATCTTTCTTTTTGTTCACAGTTTGCTCTAGTTTGATTGAATTTATGTTTGGATTATGATTTTGTTGACATGTTGATATTTTCTTGTTGTATGTATGGTACTTGTATCATAAGAAATTGCCAGGATGGTAAGATATATATATTCCTATCAAACTAAACTCATTAGTTATGCATCAATGATTCCTACGCTCGGATATATATGGAGAGTGTGTATCTGACAATTGTCTTGAAATATTAATGAGGATATACAGTTGAACCTCATTATCTCGAAGGGTGGGCCGTGTGAACACTTCGAGATAACAGAGTGTTCGATTTAAGTGAGTTCGGATGTTTCATGTAAAATTAGGCAGGGACCGACGATATGCTTCGAATTGAATGGGGTCTTCAGTTATTCGTGTTCGAGATAAAAAATGTTCGACTGTATATCGAATGCTAAGAGGAGATCGACGAAACGAATTGATAATCTAAGATTCATTTGTTATGTTAGTTTTGACAAATTGTCAGCAAATGTTATCATTTAATTGTTCAGTTATGTAACATAATGTTCTAACACAGAAAACGAAAACAGTGGACACATAACTTTACAAGCTCATATAACATTTGTGATTCTGTTCGACACTGTGTGACGTCTCTAGCGGTTGACCAGGGACACCCCCACGATATCACGTGACGCCACGTGACACCCGAAGAACACGAACACGCGACACTCCGTCTTGACGAAAGCGTGTATCATGTTGTGAATAGCAATTTGTTATGCCGTGAGACGTGGAAACCGAAGCTTTCGGGATAATTGCTTAGTTACATGATCGTTTTCCGAAATGATGTCCTTACAACAATGAAGATAAACGAAGATCAATTGGTTTAATGTAAGGAGTGTTATCCACCAGAATAAATGTTTTGTCGTCTGCTCGACAATCCAACAAACTTTGTAAAGATGATTGATATCGCTATCAACAGACCTGTTTGAAAATTGCACAATTGAATAACGAATTATGTTTCCTTCCTCGACTTTTCCCCGAGCTTCTGGTTATACGCATGCGCAAGGAGATAAGTACGTACTTCCGATTATGGGAAAGTAATTTTTTGCTCAACAGTTCTGTTTTTCATAAAGTTTTTTTGCAATGAAAAGATTTCAGACAATTAAGTATTAGTCGGTACGTGTAAAATTTTTAATTTTCCTATAGAGATGTACTACAATTGTGTAATTATAGATATCACACGAACCGGAAGTAAAATAGTAAAGAGAAAAAATATTACAAGGAGTTTCAATCAGTGTATCATAACATGCCTTAGACATATAAAGTTTTAGAAAGATTTCAACTCGGTGGAATAGCAGATGGTATAAATATATTACCTCTTGCACGTAAAACAGATCAGAATTTTCTGTCGCAGAGTTTTTAAGAATGTTGCATCGTTTGATTGCTTGCAGCATAATTGTATCGTTTTGCATCGCTCTGGGGAGAGAAATAAAATCACCAAGGTAAAGTAGAAAGGCACCGTTTTAAAATCTATAATGCCGATGCAGAAAAATAACTGGTTCTTGCTAATATTGTCGGCGAACATTGATGAGTGCAAAAACTATTGTACTTTGAAGAAACGACGATATATCTCATCTCGATAAAACTTGCACTTAAAAAACAAAGTTGCACGAAACTTCTACAAATTTCCCGAGAGGAAGATGGCTGGCAGAGTATTGGTCTTACTATTTCTGTTAATTAGAAAAGATCAATTTTCTGAACTGGTATATCTTTTATACAAAGCTGAAATGATATATTACCTCTTAGGAAAGGTTGCGATGTTCTGATAAAGTTCAAGTGTCTACAATGATAACTAAATCATGCATAAAATTAATGGGTCACGTGACGTCCAGTTTAAACCACTGACAAAAGAACGCATGCCAAGTTTACTACAAGCACTTATGTAAAATTCAATTCCCTTTTTCTGATATAAAATCTTTGCTATTAATAGTGGAGTTCGTTAAAATAGATGAATATTGTATAAATTATTAACCCTGTGTAAAATATCATAATATGAACGCTATTGGGGGATTGGAGGCACTTGAAATAGCTGGAGGAAGAAGGAAACCTAGGGTAAAAGGAAGCGTGAAAACTCGTTTAGCTAAAACTTGACTGAGGTGGGCATGTGTGTAGTTGGTATGAGAGAATCTATAGCAATGTTGTGATTAAGGAATGTGTCAGAAAATCCAAACAAGATTTTAATTTGGTAACACGTGTGACTACTGAATGACTTTATAGCAGCTTGGCTTTGTTTCAATTTTTCTAACTGGTTTTAGTAATCACCTGCCCGAGATACAAAACAGCAAACCTTAGTATCTTACTAGAGTCTACGTGAAGGTTTTCTCCTGCTTATAAGTCTTAGACAATAACAAAGGAAAGAGGTTTGCGAACAACAACCATTTCTGTTATGTTACTGTTCTATTTCGGTAAAATAAAATATGTATCACCCTTGTAACGGTTACAGATACAAGATTATTGTCTCTCTCTATCAATCCTGTTCTCCTAGAGCCTCGCTCTCAAGGAACATGTTAAATTCCAGGGAAACAAATGAAAGTTGGTCGAGATTGTATCAACTTTGGACGAGATTGTATCGAATGTGGACGAGCTTGTATCAAATGTGGACGAGATTGTATCGATCTTTTCTGTTCCTGTTAACAGGTTTCCTAAGCACAGAAGATAACAACGCAAATGGCAATTATGCCTTACTCGACCTGTTGGCCGTCATGACCTGGCTTAACTCCAATATTGGTGAATTTGGCGGTGATGTCAAACGCATTACCTTATTTGGACATGGATATGGAGCAGCGTTGGTAAACCTCCTCCTCCTTTCTCCCATGGCTGATGACAGTAAGTCTGAAATTTATTCTCTGAAAGCAAAATTTAAAAAAGAAAAAAAAAACTAATTATTTAAAGGAAGGGTCCTAAAATACAATACGGCTTGACTGTAAGCCACGCAATAAGAGAATCTAGTATCCGCTTTATTTCCTGGTATTTGAAAGACATAAACGACAAATGTCATTGTTTTTGAGCTGCGATCTACCGCTGTGCGATATGAGAGTCTGAAGTGATAAATTGCATAGTGGTTGTAGCGCACTTTGCACTGTTGAGAAGTCCAAGAAGCGGAACAGCTGTATGATGCAGTTGAAATCATTTTTCTGCTCTATTGTATCTTATACTATCTTTTTATTTCAAAATGCCAACCACTTGTGTCTTTTTGCAATCTTTCGAGGTTTAACGATGTGTTTTCGTAAATCATTTTTAATTAAGCAGTCATGACGTAACATCTCCATACAAATAGTTCCTTTTTGCTGCAATTTTCAAATTTTCTTCTCTTCTTACCTTACGCTAGTTGATTGTAAAACATCAAGTGTTTAAAAATTGTCACTTAAAGAGAGAAATGATAGCGTTATTCTGTCAATAGAAGTATATTCTGAAACTATATATATATATTGACCATACGGACATTTTTCTATCCGGCCCCTAGCTACATTTTCCTCTGGCTGTTCGGAGGAAAAACATCATTTCAACATTTTAATGCTAAAAGATTTGTGTCGTACTTTCAGCTAATTGACAGAGCTCACATGACTACATCTATACTATCGATAGAAACCATTTCATAACACGTTGAGATCGGATTTTTCTAAGTTTCTTACGAAGATTTCGATTTTCGCTATGATCTATTTCAAACTAGCTGTATCTCTATATAATTTGTATTATGTATCAAACTGTTGAATTTCAGTTGCAAAAAAAATAATGATGTCACCTAAAGGTAAATTAAATTTAATACGTGGATGATTTCAAAAAGAATGTCTCAACAGTACTGTGCTTTATTAATATTCACGAGCGTGTACCATGGCGATCCTAACTAATGAACATGCAAAGCACGTGTGAACGCGAGTTTGAATTTGAATCACCCGCACTGAATAACGTATATACAAATTACAGGTGTACGTGAGATGATTGGTGACGTCATATGCTGTCTAACAAATGCACGTGTGTAACTTCCCCCCATATAAATTGCATACATGTAATACGTCTTCTAGTTAGAGAGTCTATTTCTCATGCATACATGTTTGTGTCTATTTCCGTCATGAAAACGGCAAATGTATACATACCCTATTCAGCTGTATGGGAGAAATATTTTCATAAATAAATATTTTCTTAATTATTTTTAAAAGAAATGAATTTTACGTACTGACGTAATGAGTTATCTATTAAGCCGTACTTCTAGTGTTAAAGAATTGAACGTTTTGTTTGTATCCTAAACAAACAACACGTGTCATACAAAAATTATGAATTTCGCCGTTCTGTTTTTTTTTTTTTTTTTTTGAAAATAGAAAAAGTTTTCACATAATTTCGCTGACACTACTTCGAAAGTCCACAGGTCATGTCGTCTCTGCACTGCCGCTGCGGTCATTTGATGCCGCAATGTTTGAGAGACGCCTTTTTGGGAAGTTTTCTACAGATTCGCGCAATTTACTTCGATGTCTTTAAAGCATGCAGACACGAAATTGGAAATAAAAAGTAGGGAGGCGAAATATGAGATTTAGGTGTTGGTGACTTCAGCTATTTTTCCAAATCAATGAAATGGGCTTCATGTTGACGGCTGACACAGTGTCGGAGTCATTACAGAGGGCGCTACGCGGTGATAACTCTGTTCGTTCTAATACAGACTTAATGTCACCGTGATCGAGGAAAGTGCGACTGGTTGTAAACCTCATGGGACACTCAGAATCAGAATTCATCTGTAAAATAGTCAGATGATTCTGTCTTTGAAAGCCGTGAAGAACAGTCCGTAATGAAGGATCTACAAGGCTAGGTCCCAACCTTTCCAAATGTCTCCCCTTGCTATTGTGTTGAACATACCGTTTGTTGATCGCAATGTTGATGTGTACATAATCCAAAAAAGTAAATGTTTATTTATGCTAGTCAGGCAACAAAAAATATGCTCATATACAAATTATCGAAGTTCTCTTGTCGATCATTCGGGCGAACAACTGTTAACGCACGTGTTCTAACACGTGTTAGTAGTAATTCATCACTAGCCGAAAAAAGAAGACTAAAAGTGTAGTCGCTATACCAACGGTTGAGTAAAGCGATAAGGATTCAGGGATAAAAATAGTTGTAAAACAAACAAACAAACACCAAGGTATAAAGAATAAAAATAAACAAGCTAACAGAACAAAACCAAAAAATAAATAAATAAATAAATAAATAAATAAATAAATAAATAAATAAATAAATAAATAAATAAATAAATAAAAGATGAATAACAGCCATAGGAAAACGAACCAAACCCAACAACAAACAAAACATACAATGGAGAGAGATGTTTACAATCGTTGCATGTAGATGTTCATATGCTTGATGTAAATATGCATTAATTGTATGTGTTCGGACGACTTGTTCTGTTTGTGAACATTTTTTCGTAAACTATTTACATTATGTCAGACTACTAATGATATATGATATGTCAGTAAATTCCTTCAGGGCGTTGTCCTGGTTTTCTATTTGATATAAAGGAAACAAACATTTCCAGTAGTGAGTTGCCTCCCTTCCGTCACATAAATAGGATGAGCATAAGCTCATTTGTCTAGTTGGAGGGTAGCGGAAATGAATAGCCATTTAATTTGTTCAAAAATTTTATAAAAGGTAAAACGCCGATACACATGCGTAATCTGGAAACAAACAGTGAGCTTGCATGCATTCCCGCACAAGGCAGATAGCATTCTATACATTGTAATAAGCCGAGATAATTGTTGAATATATAGAATATCGTTTTTGTGTTGTGTATTTAACATAAGATCTGAACCATAACTCACACAAACCATAAGTTTGATGTACACTTACATAAATATGCCATAAAATCTTATCTGTGACACAAAAAATCGGGTATAATGTATATTGTAATAATCATTAAATCTAACACAAATGGTAGTATATGCCCTTAACTCAGATAGAAATCCTATGTATCGTGTGAACGTTAGCATATAACCTTAACTCTAACACAAACCGTAGATATTGTGAGTAAGGTAGCATATAACCTTAACTCTAAATTTTATCGTAGGTACCTTGTGTAAGGTAGCATATAACCTTAACTCTAACACAAATCTTAGACATCGTGTGTAAGGTAGCATATAACCTTAACTCTTATACAAATCGTAGTATGTATATACCCTTAACTCTTGCACAAAACATTAATGCGTTTTCTGTTTGTGTATATCACCAGCGCTAGTTCCCTGTTACCTGATTTTGATCTGACTTCGAGCTAGTGACACGTCAGGTCGACAGACACTACCCACGAGGTAAAAATCGTACATTTCCGGCTCATTTGATTTTATTTGTTGGCAAATACTTCGTAATTTTCGCCGAGCTAAAACTGGCTGGAAATACGAGTCATCACTACCCTCAATACTTTAAACACACATTTACGAACGGTAGGAATGTGTGCCAAGTCTCCGTGTCTTTTATTTTTACAAAATTTGTAGTTAAATGTTGTAAACCGTAAGTTAGTATTAACACTAACACAGTATATTAGTACGTCACGTGCAATTCACTGGTTCAGTGAGGTGTAAGAGGCTGATCCGCTGAGCGTGACATCCGAATCCCTGCAAGCGTCGTCAGAATTTGCTTTTATCTGTGTGTATCACTCTAATGACTTTGGTCTTATCTCATTAACAACGCATGCGTCGTTTCATTTAATAGTGCAAGTATTGCAAATTATCTAATGGTTAGTCTCGTACCTAAATTGCACGTGGAACCTAATTAGGCATGGCGCGTGCCGCTAAAGTTCACTTCCGATCGAATGACATACATGTACATTTCTCCCGCACAAAACTTGATAGGAACTAAGAATTTTATACCAGGATATGTGTGTGTTGGTAGTCTGTGTGATTGGTATCAAAAGATTTTTTAATGCCTGAATAAGTTATAAGTCAGTTATATAGATACAAATTAATTCTTGTCAGGATACGCAAAACACAGCGACATAAATAAGTGTAGGATATTCTTAATAAAACTTTATTTTGGCGTATCAACTTGAACAAAATAAAAATAGTAAATGATAACAAAGCTTTCTCTTCCTCTCCAAAATATTAATTAAACTTTCGCGATACGAAGTAATTTATCTTTCGATCACGTCAGTGGCGCCGGCACAGATCCATTATCATACACATGTTTCAACACAATAAGAGGATATAATTGATGTCACGTAGCAATTTATTTGCTTTTTCTTATCATTATCTATTCCAATTCTTAAATGGTTCCCGCAATTGAAACGAAAATACGACAATGTCGATTTATAAACTTAGCTGCGAATTAACATAGTTTGTAACTTATATGATGTATCCTGATGCAATTATATATTGAAACTATAAAATAATTATTTCTCAAAAGTACGCGTTAAGTCAAATCGCCAAAATAAGTCCATAACACACTTGAAAAAGTAATACCACTATTTATTGGAAGAAACCAGAAAATTATGTCAATTATTTGAAAACGTTTAGGGAAGTACGCTAAAAAAAGACATGTAATTCATCTCATTGGGAAGAGAAACCAGTTAAATTGGAAAGTTGTCAGTTGGAATAAATTTGAAAATTAATATCCGGTTTTAACTTCATTTTCGTAAATTACCTTGCAGGATTAATGTAAAAATTGTCCTTCTCTAGTCCAAATTAGATTGTTAGAGGCCAGAACATCACAAGAATATTTGAACAAGTGTATTTGTCGACAGGAGCAGAGCAATGGAAATAAGGCCTGTTACACCGTAATTGTCTCTGACGAATTCCACGCCGGGCTGCCGCTAGAACAAACATCATAACACGCTTAGTGACGCCACGAAATGCTTT